ACTATTACCCCACAAGACATGTGACAAAAGCATCATTGACAGGGTAACAGACGTATCATCATTGATCCTTTCTTAGATGTTTTACCTACTTAATGCTGTTACTTGCGGTGTTGACAAACCTGCACAGCTGCAGGTAGACACAGGAGTGTTTGAACACAATAAATGTCACTCACATTAAACTCAAACAGGCTTCTTGAACTCTCATATAAACCAGAAGCTTCTCTTATATCCGGGTTACCAACATTCCAAAAACAACCTGTCAGACCACATAGGACTGGCTACTTGAACATCTAACCAGTCCTAATCAAAGGTTGCTTGTCACAATTTTCCTGTTATCAAAAGTAAAGATGTGTATCACCATGACTCTGTACTAGCAGTAGTAGTTCAGAGCTTCAGATCATATTTCAGATACTTGTGAACAAATATGAAGGAAAATATTTTCAGCAAAATTATTTAAAAAAAAGAAGTCAACTCATTGGTGTAAAAATACCCAATAGACAGGTCCCAAGGAAATACATATGTACTGAATAAAAGAAAACTGTCAATACCCAATATGAATGATAACTTGTGAGTATATACTCATTTGTGTGCAACATTACATAGAGCCCTTGTGGTTGCCTTAACCATGTTAACCATGTTGACTATGATAATGGCCTAATCTCTAGCCTTGCTCCAAGGCTGTACTGAAAGAAAAGTCCAGGGATGTGTAGTAAGTCCATCCTCCTAATGGGCAAGTCTAGATATCAGGACAGTACAGGACAGACTTACATCTAGTCTCTGAAATGAACATATTTTACAGAAAAAACAGTGGTTAAATTATAGTTATAAAATATCATAAAAAGGAGACCAGAGACGTTCTTCATTTTCAGATACTGCAGTAATCTAGACTTGCCAAACATTATAGACTTGCATGGGCTGTATTTGATATATATTTGTATCAGAGTCTGTATGACAGACTAAGTACAGGACTCCAGTCCTTAAAGGGATAACTTGTTATTAATTACATAATCTTGTCTACCTACTCTAGTTCAGGGAGTTATTGATAATTGTGTCCCAAAAATTATTTAAAATGGAAGTTTAATTATTGATGCATCCACCATGTCCAGGGGGGCACGGGTGGCCCAGTCGTGTAAGGCTGTGCAGAGTTGCGTCCCTTGGGCACGCCAGAAACCTATGATTGTGGGTTCGAAATCCTGGTTCGCCCCGATTATGTTTCTAGGTTTGTCAGCACCATACCCGTGCTCTAAAAAGTCTTGAGACCTGCATCACTTCGGGCTTTCCTCCCACATTAAGCTGACACGCCGCGATATAACTGGAATACTGTTAAAAGCGGCGTTAAACCAAACTCACTCACTCACACCATGTCCACAGGATAGGTTAGTTTTATTCACCTTCATGGACACAGGTGGTTATTTACAACTCTGGCTTAATCCCACTAATGTGTTATGGCCACACCTGCATGTACCTGCAATCTGACTTCACTAGGTAGCATGTTCAACCATGTCAACATGCATCTGGTTCTGGTATCGATGTCTGATGTGGAAACAGTTGTCCAGCTTGCCAACTGTACAAACATTTCAAGATGTGAAAGTGTTTAGTTACCAGGTTAGTGTAAGACATGTACGATACCAGCACTCCTCTAGATAAGGTGGGATATAAGGTTACATGTATGTACACAGAGCGACAATGTGTCACGACTTTGACATGAACCATGTCAACTCCACCGGGTTGCTGTGGATACAGAAAACATTCGTTACGGCAAGTAATGGATGGCGACCTGTGCCCCGCGAATGGCCACTTTATCAACATGGTTTCCCTTCTTGCAACTTTCTAAAGCTGTAAATGGGGATGAGTTTGGTCTGTTAGAGCTGAGAAAGGGGTGATTTTGTGTTCCTAAAGCTAAAAAGGGGGTGAATATGGGCTGCTGGAGCTGAGAATGGGGTGAATATGGGCTGCTGGAGCTGAGAAGGGGTGAGTTTTGGCTGCTAGAGCTGAAAAGGGGTGAGTTTGGCTGCTAGAGCGGAGAAGGGGTGAGTTTGGGCTGCTAGAGCTGGGAAGGGGTGAGTTTGGGCTGCTAGAGCTGAGAAGGGGTGAGTTTGGGATGCTAGAGCTGAGAAGGGGTGAGTTGGAATGCTTGAGCTGGGAAGGTGTGAGTTTGGGATGCTAGAGCTGAAAAGGGGTGAGTTTGGAATGCTAGAGCTGGGAAGGGGTGAGTTTGGGATGCTAGAGCTGAGAAGGGGTGAGTTTGGGATGCTAGAGCTGAGAAGGGATGAGTTTGGGATGCTCGAGCTGGGAAGGGGAGAGTTTGGGATGCTAGAGCTGGGAAGGGGTGAGTTTGGGATGCTAGAGCTGGGAAGGGGTGAGTTTGGGATGCTAGAGCTGGGAAGGGGTGAGTTTAGGATGCTCGAGCTGAGAAGGGGTGAGTTTGGGATGCTAGAGCTGAGAAGGGGTGAGTTTGGGATGCTATAGCTGAGAAGGGGTGAGTTTGGGATGCTAGAGCTGAGAAGGGGTGAGTTTGGGATGCTAGAGCTGAGAAGGGGTGAGTTTGGGATGCTAGAGCTGAGAAGGGGTGAGTTTGGAATGCTAGAGCTGAGAAGGGGTGAGATTTGGCTGCTAGAGCTGAGAAGGGATGAGTTTGGCTGCTTGAGCTGAGAAGGGGTGAGTTTGGGATGCTAGAGCTGGGAAGGGGTGAGTTTGGGATGCTAGAGCTGAGAAGGGGTGAGTTTGGGATGCTAGAGCTGAGAAGGGGTGAGTTTGGCTGCTTGAGCTGAGAAGGGGTGAGTTTGGGATGCTCGAGCTGGGAAGGGGAGAATTTGGGATGCTAGAGCTGGGAAGGGGTGAGTTTGGGATGCTAGAGCTGGGAAGGGGTGAGTTTGGGATGCTAGAGCTGGGAAGGGGTGAGTTTAGGATGCTCGAGCTGAGAAGGGGTGAGTTTGGGATGCTAGAGCTGAGAAGGGGTGAGATTTGGCTGCTAGAGCTGAGAAGGGATGAGTTTGGCTGCTTGAGCTGAGAAGGGGTGAGTTTGGGATGCTAGAGCTGGGAAGGGGTGAGTTTGGGATGCTAGAGCTGAGAAGGGGTGAGTTTGGGATGCTAGAGCTGAGAAGGGGTGAGTTTGGCTGCTTGAGCTGAGAAGGGGTGAGTTTGGGATGCTAGAGCTGAGAAGGGGTGAGTTTGGGATGCTAGAGCTGGGAAGGGGTGAGTTTGGGATGCTAGAGCTGGGAAGGGGATGAGTTTAGGATGCTAGAGCTGAGAAGGGGTGAGTTTGGGATGCTAGAGCTGAGAAGGGGTGAGTTTGGGATGCTAGAGCTGAGAAGGGGTGAGTTTGGGATGCTATAGCTGAGAAGGGGTGAGTTTGGGATGCTAGAGCTGGGAAGGTGTGAGTTTGGAATGCAAGAGCTGAAAAGGGGTGAGTTTGGAATGCTAGAGCTGGGAAGGGGTGAGTTTGGGATGCTAGAGCTGAGAAGGGGTGAGTTTGGGATGCTAGAGCTGAGAAGGGGTGGGTTTTGGTTGCTAAAGCTGAGAAGGGCTGAGTTTGGCTGCTTGAGCTTAGAAGGGGTAGGTTTTGGTTGCAAAAGCTGGGAAGGGGATTTTATCATGTTTATGCTACATCACCAGTTTTTTCAGCTTGGCATGGCACATTGGTAATTTTACACTCTTATATCCAATTATTCTACGTTTTATGATGAGAAATACCCGGGACCCATTCCAGGAAAGTCAGTCACCATATCCACTTCTCTTACCATGCTTATCACTTAACACATTAGCTTGGCAACAACCAATCAGATCTACACTATAAAATGTTGCCTCGTACAAGAGGGCTCTCGAAGGCATTCCAAGTTGTATTGGAGACACACAGAGTATGTCTGTCTGTTCAGTTGTCAAATAAAACTGAGGTATCATTGGAAGGAGCAGTGTAATTTTAGTGTCATCAAACTTCATGAAATTCATGTAGTCCTCTGGGCCAAGGCTACTTAATGGTGCTGAGGACAAGGTTTGTTTGTTGTTTAACGCCGTACTCAGCAATATTCCAGCTACATGACGGCGGTCTGTAAATAATCGAGTCTGGACCAGACAATTCAGTGATTGATATCATGAGCATTGATCTACACAATTGGGATACGATGACATGCATCAACCAAGTCAGCGAGCCTGACCACCCGTTAGTCGCCTCTTATGACAAGCATAGGTGCCTTATACGGCAGGCATTGGTTGCTGAAGACCTATTCTACCCTAGATCTTCATGAGTCAATTTCACAAGTCAGAGTGGGTACATGTTGTAGCTGGTACTGCTGAAATGAAACAAAATGTTTACTATGTTTACATTAACTGTCAGTTTTATTCAGTTCCAAATTGAAGCAAAACTGAAGCTCCTTCGCGCTCAAATGTTACATGAGGACATGTCAATGAGGACAACAATCATTGGTAATTACTTGTCCTCAGTGACCCTTAAAGATCCGGGGTAGAATAGGTCTTCAGCAACCCATGCCTGCCTTATAAGGCACCTATGCTTGTCATAGGAGCCGACTAACAGGTCGTCAGACTCGCCGACTTGGTTGATGCATGTCATTGTATCCCAATTGCGTAGATTGACAACATGCATGTCATTGTATTCCAATCGATGTCAATCACTGGATTGTCTGATTCAGACAATTATTTTCAGACTGCCGTCATATAGCTGGAAAATTGCTGAATGCAGCATTAAACAAAAAACAAACCAAACCAAACAAACTTCTGAAATTACGTTTACACTATAATTACTTATATACTTATTATAAAAAACCAGCCCTGAATTTCTATGGTTCTGTCATGTAATTTGAAGTTGATAGAAAGATAATAGAATGGAGATGTGATCATGACTCTACACTGGGAAATAAAAGATGTTCCTCACCGTTCATTGCAAGGTTGTCATGGTCATAGGTGTGATGACCATTCATACAGTTTAACATACTGACGTGTCACCACCATGTTCCTTGATGTCTGTCATCTTGATTTGCTTGCAGCATCGGGGTTGTATGGACCATTCTTTGAGAAGAACCTCAAGACTATTGTCCAGCTGGGATCTAAAGGTCCTGTGTTGGTCCACTGTGCCAGGGCGACCAGAGCAGGTCAGTACAAGGCTCAGAGGTCATTTGTGCAGGTCGCAGGTCAGTTCAGCATTTTATGTATAAGTCTGTGTCTTCAAAATTAAGCTTGAAACTCAAATGGTCCTTGTCTTAATGTTAAAAGTTAAACATTTAGTGGGGGCCTGAGTTTCACTGCTGTAGAAAACCTTAAGGAAGTTATAAGCAAACAAACGAAAAAGGGTGTACTTTTGAGGGTATATTTATGTTCTGCAGAGGTTTTCTTTTTTTTAAAACATTGAAAAAAACCACACCCACCAAACATCTCCAACTTCTCGTTACATATACAGTTTTGGTTACATATGTTTATATTTTATTCCCTCCACAAGACTTCTACATGGTAATAGAAAGTCGACTGGCCTTGACAGTGAGGAAGAGCAACACATCCTCACTTGTTTGTTTGTTTGTTTGTTTGTTGCCGCACTCAGCAATATTCCAGCTATATGACTGCGGTCTGTAAATAATAAAGTCTGGACCAGACAGTCCAATGATCGACATCATGACCATAGATCTACGCAATTGGGATACGATGACATGCATCAACCAAGTCAGTGAGCCTGACCACCCGATCCCGTTAGACGCATCTTACCATATTTACGACAAGCAAGTAGTTTTCCTTTTTGAATACATTGAATATATTGATTCAATTTGCGATTGCCTTGACAATTTAGTCTATAGACAAATAAATCTTTGTCTCATTTTTCCAGCTTATGTGGCCATTCTTGGAGCAGCCATTCAACACAATCTAAGTTTTGACTGGGCCCTCCAGAGGAGTAGAGATTTAGGATTTGCCGTCACGCCCGAAAAACAACCCGAAATCTATCAACTATATGAAGAGTATCTCATCAGGAACAAAAATCGCTCAACCAAAGAGGAATTATAATCTGTAACCAAACACTGGTTGCCATGGTAACAGTTGCATGTTATTGCATGAAAGTGGAGTTGAATAGAATCTTTTATATCTGAATTGAATGCAATTTTTAACATATAAGTAACACAAAGTGATCATCTGATGAATGGCAGATTCAGTTTGAATTTGTTGCTCCAAATCAATATGTTTTGCTTTTGGAAAGATGAGGAGATGTAATTACTTAGATACCGAGTGAGTGAACAGGTTGTAGAAGTCCCAGAGTAGCGTGACAATAAATGTCCTTTACAGGGGTGTCATAAATCACCGAGGTGTTTGTGAATCACAAATAGTCCATGATGATATGATACAAGAAATGCCTAACCATGTATCGATTCATGTTTTGACTCAATCGATATTTTTAAAGTAATATTTTTTAATTATAACTTTGTGTGATAACTCCACCGACTAGTGTTTCCTCACTGCCTTTCACTAAACATAATTCTAGTTCTGATGGTTTAACTAGGGGTGAAACGATACAGCAAGGTCACAATACGATATGTATCGCCGCGATACATAGGTAACGATACGTATCGCGATACACATATTTACATCAGATTGCGCTGAAACTTCTTGAGCATATTTCGGAGCATGTTCTAAAGGAAAAGCTAGCTGTAGACACATGTGCATAGCTGCTATTTTCAGTTGTGAACCTGGAACGCTAATTACAACACATTTTGTAATATTTGACTGACAATTTCTGGGGGTAATTAAACGAGTAGTAAGTAATATTTTTAGAAAGTGTATCATCTTTCATCAACACAGAAGAAAACTTAATGATGTATTGTTTCATGATACACCAGTTGTGCGAGTTGAACACAAACTAGTTGGTTCCAACAACCTCATTAGCTGGGCCACATGGACCATTGAAATGGTCACGCAAAACTTAAGTATTGCGATATGTATTGATATCGAACAATAGTTCTAAAAATTTAGTTAGTGTGATTGAAGCCAAAATACAGGATTTATGGCAAAGACGTAATAGAGGTAGAGGGTTTGCAAGAATTACATGCTGTATGCATATCGCAACACCAAAGTCCCTTGTGCCTTGATTCAGCAAGAAATATTCCATGCCCAAGATATATATGCGCCAAATGATTCTACCTCATGGAAAACCGATTCCTATTTTGTCAGTTAAGGTCAAGGTCAATTGAAACACCAAGTATCATGAATGTAGTCCGGAGCATTTAGCTGTAGGAGGATGAAAATATACACTCAATACGAGCACCTCAACAGCAACTACCAAATTAAGTTGACTTGACAAGTATACAGATAATTTTATGTCAACGTGTTGCGTACCCTCGTATACCTGTGACTGTTGTTCCGCCTCCTTCCTGTTCACACAGGCGTTGAGCACATTCTACAGACAGTGTCACCCATGGACTGTTCACTAGGGTGGATGAAACAAAAGACGAATTCAGTCATGACTCTCTCTTTTTATCATGGGTAGTGGGTCCATGACATATACTACTCAAAGAGTTAAGGATCACCTGATTCTTTCATTAATCATGGCATGACAGATTGACTGTAGTAATATGAAAGATTTGGATGGTCCTTCACTTTTGTTTTAGTAGTATAAGTAAAAGAAAAAGGTTGCTTTAAGTTGTTGATTTAATGCTGAAAGATTTCTGTAACTAAAGGGGTATCCTACATGATTGTACAAATTCCTACCTCAATCTCATTAAGATCAGATCTTGGTTTTCGCTACCGCTAAACAAAGCTGAGGACATCCCATAATGGGTCACGTCAGAACGACCTTTTGCGAACTTTAACCGACCAATGAAATGACTGACAAGAAATCGACATTAGCCAATCAGAAGGCAGCTTTCTCGAGCTTTACGACACAAGTTTCAAACTGGTGACTACGCTTCGAAGCATATTTTGACGTATGCTCGATAAAAAATGTAAAACTTATAAAAAGAACATTCTGGAATGGTAAATAGATAGCCTAGATTGCATGGATATAATAAAAAAAAACGTAACTGTCGTTCGGAATACCCTCTGTTAATTTTTTCAAGGTTGCATGATTAGAAAACACATTCCGTCCGTCACTTTCATGATCTGGTAAGCAACGCTCTGATTGGTTGGATGAAAGGTCGTTCTGATGTGACCCGTAATGGGATGTCCTCAGATCTTTTTTTTAGCGATAGTGATAACTAAGATCTGATTTTAATGAGATTGATTCCTACCTAGTCCATTTTCTTCCACGTCCATCTCACTGTAGGATGCCTCTTTACACGTGGAACTAGATAAAGATGCTCGAAGATTGGGCGTTCTATTTGCTCAAGTACTGCTATTGATACTTAATGTTAAATCTTATTTTGATCATTCACATGAGTTACTTTGAGATATTGTGCCAAAACTGATGACACCATCCACATTTTCCATAGCTTTAACTATTCATTGTTACTTGTTTGTTACTTAAGAGAAGATGTCAAATATCCTAAAAGAGGTTAACATTCTTGTATTTACTGATTTTCATTCATTTGTTCATGATTTCAACAGTAAGTCATTGTATCCAAACTATTGTTTGACCTGTGTCAATGTTTGCCCTGTTATGTTATTATGATATGGCATCTAATGTGTTATTTATTATATGGCATCTTATGTGTTATTAATAATATGGCATCTTATGTAATAAATAATATGGCATCAAGAACAGCTTAAGTATGTGATGGGTGTGATTTCTTGGTGATGGGATGTGTACCGCTTCATCAACAGCATGTCATAACATGCCTAGGCCGGGATTCCTGCTTTGGTTTGCAGATAGTTGTGAAGAATTTTGGTGCATGGGTACAAAAGTATCTAAAACAAACGTTTCAAAATATATTTTTGTTCCCTGAGTTATCTGAATATGTTGTTATGTTTGCAGGGTAAGCTTGTCTCATAAATTATTTTTAAAAAAATAATTAAAAAAAATATCCTGATGTCTTGCAGTGTGTGGTGAACAAGCAGGTCGGAATTGGGTAGAATAAAAGAAAGAGTGCATGTCAGATTTTTTTTTAGTTTAATTGTTATTTAGTCATGAATCCATAAGTCAACTTTTTAGTCCCGCCTTAAATATCACAGTATTAAAACTTGCACCACAGAGTTGTGCGGTCACCACGATAAGCCATCTGTCCGTTCATATACTTTCAACACCAATGTAGATCTGATAGGTCTTCAGCAACCCATGCTTGCCGTAAAAGGCGACTAGGCTTGTCGTAAGAGGCATTTAACAGGATTTCTACATACCTACTGGTTCTTATGTATATGTCCCAAAGTTTAAGCAATTATTAATGTTTAAGGTTCAAAATCAGATTTCCATTAAATTGCATGAGTGTTTTAAACTCACTTGAAGCTTCTATATGCATGGTGTCACATTGCAGATTTCAGAGGCAGCCATCTTCAAAATATTGTTTGGTCAATGATACTGATCTAGTTCTTCATGTGCCTTTATGGAAATTGTTATATATGTTGTATATGTTTACAATAACATTGTAAGTTTTTTAGGCACATTGAGTAGTTGAAATGTGGACTCCGATAAAAAATTCTGTTTCAGATTTCTTTTAAAACATTCCAATATTCATTATTTAACTTCGATGACCTTAGTTTTAGTGAACTAAAATTTTAGACAAACAGTAGAGGATGTACCATGAAGTGAAATGGTATTTTTATTGTGATTGAAAATGTCTCGTTGGATTTGGCATGAAATATGCACTTTCTAGTCAAATGTGTGACAACCATTTTACTTTTATTTGTGCCAAGCTCAAAACAAAGTTAACAGGGGAGTGCCAATGTAAATATTTATATTACAAAGATTCTTCTAAAATGTTTTTACATGTTAACAGGTTGATTTATGTTTTACATTTTGATGAGATGAATTTCTATGATTCTAAATGTCACTACATTTTGAGGGAATTTTTCAAGATTCCTGTAACCGCCCATAGTGGTGGCAGCGATGATACCAGGAGAGTTACCAAGGTGACACACACTTTGAAGGCGTTTGAGGATTCTACAGCTAAGGGACATAACTCTCAGATATCGAGTTTTGTATTCTGGCACAGATGAGCTGTTGATTGACATTTTTTACACAGCAGCCAGCTTAAACAACAAGGAGGCTGCTCGACATTTTCTATTAGTAACAGGTATTTAATATGATGTATTTGTTGTAAGAATGTAATGTGAATTTGCTCAAAGTATGTGTGTTTTCTTGGTGGTACAAGAATGAGATTCTCTGTTTTAGCTTGTAAATATTGCCAGTTTTAATGTAGGCTTGCTACTATTTAAGTTTTAATCAACGAAACTTGTACAATTTTATTTATGCCTTGACAGATAGCGTTGTTATGATGGTTACTGATTTTGATCAAATGTGGTCATTGATATTTAGGTATTTATTTTATCAGTGTATTAGAATTAAAAAAAGATTTATTGATAATAGCGAGCCGACCAGTCCTTGTTTTAACCCCTCAATGCCGCGTGCCAGGTATCAAGTCTTTTGATATGACATGTTTGGGGATTGAACCACTAGCTGTCTGTTATATCCACTAGAGCCTTCAAGCTATGTACCTGTGTCAGGAAAATTGGAAAAGAACTTGAATTATTTTTTTAAGTACTGTAAGTCCTTTTTTTCCTTAAGTTTACTGGTACTTTTAATTCATTTCAATGCTGTAATGTAAAGCTATGATTTAAACGCTATTTCAATTTATTGGACTTGTTATCAGTAAAAATAATCATCTTTGCAAAACTAAAATTATAGTTTTAATTCAAATGTTGGAATTGTTACCACCTTTTGCTGAACACAGTTAAAAAGATAAGTCTCTGAGAAAGACTACAAAAGAAAGTCACTGCAAGTGCAGGATTGTGGTGAATTTGGTGTCTTCCGTATTAAAACCCAGTCATTTTGTATGGTTCCTTATCGCTATCAGTCGCAGATATAGACTGACTGTCCAGTAAGGTTATATACACAACGTGCCAGACCAACTTTGACATTTTACACTTAGATATTAAGTCAAGTATTGCACTTGTCCAAACGAATGGTTTCATAGTGCTAGCCCACAGAGATACCATGCTGCAGTTTAACATGGATACCTGACTCAGACACAGTGTAAGGACAGTATTTTCTTTTTCATCCCCAAACACCAGACAGGGTTACCACAAATACCGACTTTCAACGTTTAGTTCATGGGGCCAGGGATCGAACCTCCAACCTTTCACTCTTTTATTTGCTATCAAGATCCAGACAATACAATTTGTGACTTGTGTCAAAGTGAGACACTTTTTTGTGTATGACTGTTATTGGCCAACACACTAGAATTTGAATTTCTAGGTTAAAATAATGAGTTTTGGATGATTTGGGCCTGAGATATCTCCCCCTCTTCCCCTTGATGCTTCTATCAGTAAATCTCCAGGAAGGTGAGAGTGGACAGATAGTCTTACTTTGTTGTATGAACTTGTTCCCCATTCTGCTCATGTCTAAACAGTGAGTTAGTGAGTATGGTTTTACGCTGCTTTTAGCAATATTCCAGCAATATCACGGCGGGGGACACCAGAAATGGGCTTCACACATTGTACCCATGTCGGGAATCGAACCCGGGTCTTCGGCATGATGAGCGAATGCTTTAACCACTAGGCTACCCGACCGCCCCCATGTCTAAACAGAAAGCAAAGAAATAATATTAACAGAACACACAGCACTTCAATTCATATACACCCATTTTCTGCATGGACATCTCATCTGATCAAATTACAGCATGTTTCCAGGTTACAGCCTTTGATCACTTTGGTATAAGCTAAGGAAGATAACTCATCCCAGAAAAGGGGATAACTCACCTTTGCTTCAGTAGATAAGGGGGCTAACTCATATCTGCTTAACTCATATTTATCGCTCAGTGCTCATATCACTTCTGTTTTATTTGTGGAATAATCATGTTAATCATTCCAAGATTATAATCAGTATTACTTATATCCACAATGTGTCATCCTCCCGAGGCAAGAGAGTTAACTGACTTTTTAAGTCCAGTTTCCACCCTTGTCAAACTAGGCTGGAATTCCTGGGCTCGGTCACCACTCCCATGGACCAATCAGATTCCATCACTTGCATTTGTTTCAAACAAAATCGCGATGCCCAGTCAAGACGATCTGATCGATAATCAAGACCTATATTGTATAAAACGGGTCTTACATCACGAAGTGAATAAAATCACATGAGCACCTTGATTAAAAACATGAAAAAGTTTGGAAAATATCTGTTGACGAGTTTTCGGTGCAAATGCTTTGTAAATCCTGCAATCGACCTAAATCTGCAGGACAGTTTATGAACCGAATTTCGATTTCGTTGCGAGATTTTGATTGGACTATGCATAGACTCGTTAGTCCAGCCAAAATGTAACTCCATAATACCAGCCTAGTTCGGCAAGGGTGGAAACTGGACTTTAACTCTCTTGCCTCGGTAAGATGCAATGTGTGGAATGAATGCCTCAGTCAAGTCAGAGCATTGATTCCTGCTGTCAGTATTTTTATGGGTGATTATGTTGCTGTAATTAACTGTACATTTTGTGATTTGTCCTGCGTGTTGTCCTGTGTGTTATACATTGAGTGAGTTGGGTTTAACGCCGCTTTCAACAGTATTCCAGTTATATCACAGCGTGTCAGCCTAATGCGAGAGGAAAGCCCGAAGTGATGCAGGTCTCAGATGTTTACCACTTCGGTGAAACCCACGAGCACGGGTATGGTTCTGACAAACCTAGAAACATAATCGGGGCGAACCGGGTTTCGAACCCGCAATCCTAGGTTTCTGGCGTGCCCAAGGGAC